GGTAATCGGTAAAGGCTTATCAAACCCGTTGAAGGCTGAGGGTTTGCCAAAAATCCTATGAGTATTATGGTGAATCATTTCAAACGGAATGAGGAATCATAATAAAGATAAAGATAAAAACCAGTTTCACAAAGAGAATCAAAAGTCAAAGTATTCAGCAAATGAAATCATACATCAAGCCCATGGCTAAAAATCCGCTGACTAAACTTAGACAGCTTCTCATCATAAGCTTGTCTAAGCTCGTCCTGCAACTCGGCTCTGATGGACTCTTCAGTCGCGGCTAAAGTCTTCACAGCGACCTCCTCTGTCTCGACCAGCTTCTGCTTTAAGGACTTCAGCTCATCAGATAAAGCAGTGTGTGCTTGCTGATCCTGTATCTTCGTCATCTGAAGAATACTCAAAGTCTCCTCTTTCTCACGGAGTTCTCTTTGGAGCTGGTGTATCTGGGTTTCACAAGAGGCAATGGAAGAATCAAGCTCGTCGAGTGAGGATGATCTAATAGCAAGGTTAGCCTCAACTTGGTCTACCCGGTCCCGCTGCACCTGAATCTCGAGCTCAGCAAAAATTCGAGTATCACGCCATGTCTGTAAGTGAGCATCCAAATGGGCAGCAATGAATGAATAAGCACCTGCATCCCGGAGCTCACGAAACATCTGAAGCTCATGCTCTAGACAATCAAGGTCATCAACTATAGCCTTTGCCAGATCCGGGTATCCTGCATCCCTTATCGAATTTATTCTAGAATCAAGGAAAGGTTTAAACTGGTGAAGGAAAAGTCCGCCGTGGAAGAGTTTGCCAAGCATAGCATTCACAAAGGAGAAGAAAGAGCGGACTTCTATGCAGATGACGATCTTCTCAGGGTCATTGTCCAATAACAACTCCTTCACGAGGACATGAAGCCGAGAAGAAAGCCCTACACAAAAAGAGAAATTCGTTAAAAGCCTTGATAAGGGAATAAATGACATTTCTCAGTTGCTTAAGTTATACCTCCTTTCCCTTGAGTCACTGGGGGTAGTGGAGGTGTAACGGCTGTGGAAGTATCAACTGGTGTAGTTGGTCTCACAGCCAGCTCAACAGGGTCAGTCTTGACAAAAGCTCCTGTCAAATACAAAACGGAATTCTCAGATGCATCACGTTATAGCTGCATTAGTCAAAAATTGGCTAGTCCTATAATTAACTTGAGAAGAGGCACGTACCTTCAGAAGAACCATCCTCGGGATTCTTAGGGAGTGTAGACTCAAGAAACATATCTCCAAGCAACTGGTCATCAATCTGAGGAGAGCCATACATGAAGTGGAGAATAGGAGTGTCCACAAGCAAACCCTCCTCGTCAAAATCATCAGTCGAGAAATTTGACACAAGAGAATATGAGTGCGAAAGAAGAATAAAAGGACTACGACCAATAGAAATGAGTTACCTCTTATGGGTATGTCAGCATCTCTATTCCCAAGATCCACGTTTTCCTCCTGCAATTTATGTAAAAAGAGCAAGAAGCATAGAGACGATTAGGGAATGAACGAATTCTGAATCGTTCAACTCCTTTGTGTGCCATCTAAAGGATACATTGTCAATGGTAGATGTACCTGGATTCGTCGAATCGGGTCCTACATTAACAGTCTTCCTAACGTCGATATCTTCTGCAGGCTTTTCTACTTGGAGTGGTGAGTCAAGCTCACCAGAAGATACAAAATCATGAGGAGTAGGATCAGGACTCATCTCGCTATCCACACGCTCTCCTACATAGAGATGTAAAAGCATGAGTCGAAGTTCTGAATGATCAAAAGGATGATTTATAGGGTAGATGTTACCTCCATCGCTAGCGGGATCATCACCAGCGAAATCCATCTCAGATGCTCGCGAATCTGTATGCGGCTTGTGGGCTAATCTCTTCCGCCTAGCAGTAGGGACAACAATCGAAGGTCTCGCCTGGGAAGAAGGAGGGAATTCTTCGTCCTTGTCAGCCGCGGTCCCTGAAACATCAAGCCATCGTCAAGATTAATAATTCTGGAGGACAGAAGGAAAAGAACAGGTAGCTAACCTTGCTCGGAACAGTCCTCGTAATCTTCAGGATCTCCGCCTGAAGATTCATCAGCAGAATGGAAGATCTTTTTTCCCTCTTCGTCAATCCGACGAGTCTTGCTCCGTGTCCTCTGTGACCGAGCACCTTCCCAAATCATGTGAGAATCAGCCTGAGAAGCCTCCTCGGCCACTAGCTCTGCAATCGGCTTCACGGGGACAGTTTTATTAGCTGCTAACAACCACCTGCAGCTTAATAAAGTAAGATTCAACTGCCGCTCTGCACTTGGGAGACTGAACTTAGCACCAGTGCAGCCCGTCACGGTCCACAACCATGCACGAAGACCGTCCACCAAA